TCTTTTGCGATTTAAAAACATGGTGTGGAGGTTAATACAACACCAACGGTCCTTTTTTGCGGGGGGCCCGGGGGCGCAGTTTTAACGGAAATGGCGAAGTTTGGGCCGGGGGCACGCCTGCCACCCAAGATGGAGGGAATGTGCTTTGAAAATGTTTTGTTTGGGCAATTAATGTTTTTTTGGCGCGGGGGGATTGGTTTAGTAATTTTTTTGAACTTTTAGTATGTGTGTGTAGAAAGGAGGGGGGGGGGGGTAGCTTTACATGTATGTCTCGAACTTGATGCCTGGGATGTTCGAGTAGTACTCTTTTGCCATTTCGGGAACCACGACTGTCGCGCCGGCTTGGGAATAGGTCTTTACGCCGAAAGCATGGTCGTGGTGGTGATGGGTAGGCTGTGTACAAAAGTAAGTACGAAGTCGACGGGAAAAAAGACCAATGTAAGAACAAAGGCTCGTACCCAAACCTGGCCAATTGGCTTTCCTAAATTCTTCCTTGCCCAATCCACTACAGCCGGTGCTTGCTCGGGCGGAGCATCCATGACAATCACGTAATCGTCCATTTCGAGGAGAACCTGGCGGAAGTCTTGAATCTGGGGGAGTTTGAGGATATAGAGACCAGGTAGTTCGGGGTATTGCACGACTTGGAACATTTCGGATGTCAGGTACCAGAGGCCGAGGTAGATGAACTGGCTACTTGTTCGTTGAGTACAGCGGTCACGCTGTCGTCGACAATGGGGACGAACACTGGGGTGAAGGTCTCTGGGGGTGGGGCGTCGAAGATCCAGCGGGTAGTTCGGGGTCGATGAGCATTTTGTTGGCCAGGAAATCCGTAATAAGCTGCTTGTTATTGTAGATGACTTTGTAGTGGTTACTATTATCACTACGGTATAAAATTGTTTACTGTAGAATGGTACGCCAGGGGTTTACTATGTAGGTGTAAACTGCCCTTATATATACCTATAAATAGGTTTAAAGTAGTAGTTTACTTTTATTAAAGTAGTAGTTTACTTGTATTAAAGTAGTAGTTTACTTTTATTAAAGTAGTAGTTTACTTGTATTAAAGTAGTAGTTTACTTTTATTAAAGTAGTAGTTTACTTGTGTTAAAGTAGTAGTTTACTTTTATTAAAGTAGTAGTTTACTTTTATAGTAGGGATTTAAATTAAGTATAAAAAGTAGTTTTATTTCTATTATACGCTATAATACCTAACTAAGACTAAAAGGGGTAGAGAAGATTAGCTTCACGCTATACGCACATATGATATAATAATAAGTCATAATATTTTTACTAATAGGAGGTGGTAATAATAGAGGTAGTGATAATAGAGGTGGTGGTAGAGATGGTAGAGGTGGTGATAGAGGTGGTAGAGGTGGTGGAGGTAGTGAAGAAGATTAAAGAAAGGAGGGGTAAAATACTTAGATAGTTAGTAGGTAGGGTAGTAAATAGGTATAGGTTAGGTTAGGGTTAGGTTAGCTTATATTAGACCCTAAACCTAACCTAAACCTAACTATAAATTTTCGCATAGGCTATAGGCTTAGGGTAGGGTTAGGTTACACAGACCTTAGGCTTAGGTTAGGTCTTACGTAAGTAGGTTAGGGTTAGGGTTAGGTTACATAGGCTATAGGCTTAGGTTAGGTCTAGGGTCTTACGTAATCTACTTATAGTATATATATAATAGGTATATATCTTAGGTATCTATTATAGGTATCTATTATAGGCATGTTGTAACAATAAGGCAGAATTGCCTGCCTATTGTTGCATGCCAAGTTAGGCCTAATAAAGGCCTGACTCACTAATATATATAGAGAATAGCTCGCCTATAGTTAGGATAGGTATATTCTTCTTATCCTTTTGTACAAGACCTATAGGTGTAGGAATCTTATCCTTTTCTATATAGACGCGCACTCCTATATACCTTTAAGTTATATAGGATACCTTTTAGATACCCTACCTACCTAAGTTATTATATTATAAGAAGAATATTATCCTAGCTAGTAATAGTATTTAAGAATATTGTATTTGTTATTATTTTAAGCTACTAATTTAGTTCTAGTAGTTATCTAACCCTATAACTCTATAGTTAGAATAGCTATTAGAACTTCTAACAACTAAAGCCTATAGGCTTAGACTTCTAGACCTATAGGTAGTGCTAGATTACCTTTAGAAAAAATCGCGTTAGATTGCGTTAAGGTAGAGACCTAGAGACTACTAAAAGCCTAGAGGAATTAGAGGCAAAGCTAATATCCTTCTATAACTAAAACCCCCTAAAAGAAAAAGAAAAGATTTATTATTCTTATTAACTATAAAATATTAGATAAAGGTAAAGGAAGGGCATCTAGTTTAGCTACTTTTAAAAGCCTATTTACTAATAGAAAGAAATTAGATAAGGAAGACTTAATTAATAACGCCCTCCTAGAAGGACCTGCTTCCTATCTATCTCTTAAGGTACCTTGTGCTCCTAGGAAATCTTAAAGTAACACCTCTCTTAAAGATAAATATATATTAACCCTATCTAAAAAGGAGAGGTTAGAGGAATAAGTTAAGTAACTTACTAATTAGTTATATAACACCTCCCTCTATAAGGAGATATAGGGTACTACCTAACTAGGCTAGTCTTTAGCTTCTATATTAAACCCTATAGTATATACTATAAAAGCTAAGAGATAATCTAAAAAGATACTAAATATCTCTATACTTAGTAATAGTGCTAATCCTACTTTTAGATAATAGCAAGCATCTATTTAGAATAGGCTAGAGATTAATACTAATTACTACCCCTTTTCTAGAGCTTAGATAGCGTTAGTCTAGGGACACTACTTAGGACTAGCAAGAGAATACTTAGAGCCACGTTACCTATCTAATTCCCTAAGTCTTTAGTTCTAAAAAGCTAAGGAAATAATTACCCTCCTTTAAACTTACTTTATTACTAGAAATTAGATAGCTAAGAGTTAGACTATATTTAACTACCTATATATAACTATTGCAGGAGGGATATTAACTGGATCACGGAGCATCTTGATCCCGATCAATCCCGATCAATCCTAGTTAATACCCCTGTATGACCCACTATCTGATTAACTGCCAGCTTACTGCCAAGTGCCCAACAAAAAGCAGGAGCTCTAGTAAGGAAGGTTTACTAATTATTCACCTTCTAGTAAGGGTAGCTAAAGCTCTATATATATAAGTCTAATCGCAGTAGATATAATCTAATAATCTATCTCCTAAATTATTCCTAACCTTAGTAATCTAAATTTCTATAGTTATAAGCCTGGTTCGCGCTTTACCTTATTAAAGATTGTCCTATCTATTTAAGCGTATTATTTAACTTAGACACTAAGCTAGCAAGCTTTACTCTTTATACTATTTCTTAAGCAGAAGCTTACTTATTACTCTTCTACTATAAGTAACTAAATCCTAAAGGGGGATATCCTACTTACTAGATTAACTAACTAGCCTACCTAGTATATTTAATTCAGATACTATGCCCTAACTAAAGGGATCTAGGCAGAGGTAGACCCTAAGGCTCTAGATGCTAAAAACTACTTTAAGAATAAACCTATTAAGCCTAACATGCTAACAGATATCACGCTATCTAACACAACAAGCAAGCAGTACAAGCTCTAAATAGCTTAGTACTAAGCCTGCTTATTAGATTAGGTATTAAAGTTATTAGTAATCTAGAACCTCTTTATATAGGTTAATAATATAGTAGATTAAGGGATCCTTACCCTAGCCTATATAGAGCTTGTTAATTAAGGAAGAGTAACCCTCTAAGCACTTATCTAAGTGCTCTGCAATAACCTAGCGCTAACTAACTTAAGCGCTATAATACTAGCAAGATTATAGTACAAAGCTTATCTTACTAAGGTAAAGATAAGTAGCTAAGACGCTAATTACTAGTAGAAGGAGTAGACAATCCTATATACGCAAGCTAAGGTATACAACGTTCCTAATATTAAAGGATAGCTTATAGTACAGGATTATCTTAAAGCTCTATCTACTAGGATCTTACTAGATTAGGGTTAAAATATATTTTAAAGGATTATTAAAAAGTTAGTAATAGGAGAGCTAACTTATAACCTCCCGCAGGTTACTAAGATCTATTTATCACTTCTCTAAGAAAACAATATAAGATTAAGCTCTAAAGGTCCTAGAGTATTTGCAATAATAGGAGCTCTACCTTCTAGTTAACTAAAGAAGGAGTCTTTATACCTATATAGTAGATCTTACTTATAGAAACCTCCTAAATATAAAAATATTATTAAAGCTTAGACTAATATAGGTAACAAGCTTACCACCACTTAACAATTAGAGATTAAGAAAAAGATTAATAGGAATCTAAAATTCAAAGAGTTAAGAAAAACTCTAATCAAGTCCTATCCTATTAATTAAGATTATAGTGGTAAGGCAAGCACGATTACCTATCTAGGCAGTATCTAGGCGGCACTAATTAACCCTATGTTAATAGCGGAGAAAACAAAGAGGATCTATTTAACTATAGACTTTAAAGCTTACGCTCTATTAAAGAGCACTATCTTTAACAATAGGGGTGCAGTGCACCTAGTTAATAATATAAGCTACCTAGAAGAAAGCTTGTTTAGATTAGTTAAATATAAGACAGTTAAAGCAGGAACTTAAGCTTTTCTAATCTTAGGCAGAGGGACTAGAGTAATCCCTAATACTCTTAATAGACCAAGAGGTCCAAAAACAGAAGATTTAGTGCTCACTAACGTGGTGTTAGTAGAAGGTTTTTATATGAATATTATATTAGAAGCTTAATTGCTTAAAGCAGGAGTTTAGTTCCTTAGGCTAGATACTACCTTGCAGTTTAGATTATTAGAAAAGAGCGTTGTATTAGCTAAGTTACTGCGCAAGTTTAACTTAACTTTCCTAGAATATAAGCCCTCTACCCCTTATTAAATAATCTAAAGCATAGTGCCTAAATAACCCTAGTAATCCTAGATAACTTACCTAAGACACAACAGTAAGGAGCTTTAGCACTAATAATTAGGCTATTTAGGACCTAAGGCGCTTAAAGCTCTAGTTAAGTTAGCTATAAATATTAGGATTAAAGGAACTCCTAGGAGCAAATACGAGCACTACGCTATTATACATGCCTAACAGGTTATATTAAGATAACTAAGGGAAAGATTACTACGTCTATACTACTAGGTATTATAGGATCTATTTAATATGCTAACAGGTATAGCTTATAAGTAATAGATCTTAGTATTAAAGTGCGACTACTTAGGAAAGCTTTATACCTATCTACTATAAGCTAAAAACCTTAATAAGATTATATAGGTGTTTAAAAATTTTAAGAGCTTAATACTTAACTAATACAAGCTTAGTATAGTTAAGATTATGCAAGATAACAACGTTGCAACGCTCCCCTAGCGTAGCAAATCTTACTTTTAGATCTAGGTAGCTAATAATAGTATTAAAATTAAGAGCTTACCTATATATACCTATAAACCTAATAGAGGAGTAGAAAGAGTAGGGCAGGAGATTATAACAAAATTAATTAAAATAAGGATTAGTGCTAACCTACTAACAAAGCTCTAGCCTAAAATTATTAAAGCAGCGACTTAGCTTTATAATATAAGCCTGTCCTATACTTACAATATAATATTACCTAACAAAGTGCTAGATTGTTAGTTTACTAGATACTTTAGGTAGTGGCAACTAGAGCAGATAAGGGAGGCAACTACTAATCTCTGCCCTAATTAGAGCGGAATATACGCCTATAGCTATTAAGCTTACCCCCTTAACAGAGATTAAGCAGCTAGGCGTTACAAGAGGGTTTTTAAG